TATTTACTGTCTATTACCAGTAAGGGAGAAATAAAAACATGATGGAGACAAAGAGATTTATTGTGTTTCTAAATTCTCCAACGTGTCTTTGATTTACACAACACAGTGTTCATTTATGGCCTCAGAGTTGTGACAGCTTGTTTTATGCTTTTTCACTGCAGAGTAAACAATTTGCAGCGTTTTATCATCAAGTGAAAATTATTTCTTGTTGGTCTCCTTTCTCTCAGAATGTGACAGCTAACCATCGTGTGAATGATGCTGTATTCACGGAGGACGGCGCACAGACAGTGACAGGACGCTTCATGTATGGTCCGCTGGACATGGTGACCCTCACAGGAGAGAAGGTAAAGGACGGCTGTGAGGAACCCCCCAAAAAGTTTGTTTTCTCTAAGTTGTCAACTGGACAGACACATACAACTGTACTGCTGCACCCTCTCCCTAACTTTAAGAGAAGTTTATTTCTCTCTATTAGAAGATGTTTCCCTTCTAAAATTAAAGAATTGATTGATTTGTCACCTTTGGCAGCAGTGTGTTCCTATATTTTTTTGATACGTTTTGTACCTGTGTCTCTGTAGACATGCCTGCTTTCCTTTTTTCTGACATGGTGTGTGAAGTGTGGCAACTCCCACCTTTGCATCTATTGTCTAATATTTTTTTTAATACCAATACTTGAATGTTTATGTAGTCTGTTTGCATAATAAAAAGCTCTGAAAGAAGCAGTGTGTGCCTGCCCCCCTTCTTGGAACTGTGACAGTTTGCTATTCACAAGCTGAGAAACTTGTTTCAGCTGCGTTTTGCAGGAAGATGCATGCAGAACCCTATTTGTACCATATTTTAATATTCTTATGTTGTTGTTTTTTCCCCTATTTCCTGCAGATCGACATCCACATCATGACCCAGCCTCCCTCTGGAGAGTGGGTGTACTTTGACACAGAGCTCACTAACAACAGTGGACGCATCTCTTATGTAATCCCTGAGAGCAGACGGCTGGGTATTGGGGTGTATCCTGTCAAAATGGTGGTCAGGTATACAGTCTTTTTTACAACTTCAAAAAAGTAAATATTTAATTATTATAATAATCACCATTCCTTTCTATCTCTGCCTGCTCTCACAGGGGTGACCACACATTTGCAGACAGCTATCTTACTATTATACCAAGAGGAACTGAGTTTGTGGTATTTAGTATTGATGGGTCGTTTGCTGCCAGTGTGTCTATAATGGGAAGCGATCCAAAGGTTCGAGCTGGAGCTGTAGATGTCGTGAGGTAAGAATAATACCACCTCATTCTTTATGCCCTCTCTGCAATATCATACAGTGGGTATATTAAGTAAGTATTCACCCACCATGGGCGTTTTCCTCTGTCATTGCTTTTCACCATTGAATCATATTTAATTATCTGACTTTTTGGTTCTAGGCAGACTTACACATTTTCCTTCCATTTCTTAACAATGGATTTAACTGTACTCCAAGGGATATGCAGTGACTTGGAGATATTTTTGTATCCATTCCCTGACCTATACTTTTTAATAATCTAACCTAATAAATTCACAGAACATGCTTGGAGTGTTCTTTTGCCTTAGTGGTGTGATTATAGTCAGGAAAACTGATTCACCAGTGACTGGACATTCCAGATACAGGTGTCTTTGCATTATAGTCACTTAGGACACATTAACTGCATTTAGATGATCTTTTCACTAATGAGTGACATCTACCACCAATTGGCTATACCTGTGTTGGATTAGGTGAGTCACTTTAAACAGGGTTGTTAATATGGTTCACTGTTTAAAAGCAATAAAAGGGGTAAACTTTCAAGGGCAGTAAATACTTTGTATAGAACTGTATACAGTGTAATAGATACACATAGAGGTTGTAAGTTAAAATTAAAAGTTTGGACAACTACTCATCCAAAGATTTTTTATTTTTATATTTTTAATTTTATTTTTATACAACTCATCTCAAACCATCTCAGCTGGGTTTAGGTGGAGGCCACGTCATGTGTTGCAGCACTGCATCACTCTGCTTCTTGGTCAACCAGCCCTCACAAAGCCTGGAGGTGTTTTGGCTCATTGTCCTGCTGAACAACTACTGATGGTTCCACTTTGTGTGTCTGCAGTTGTGTGTGATGTTGCGGTAGCAATACTGATTTAGTGTTGCTCATCACACCTCTGGGCTTCACGGTTGGAACCACACATGCCAAAACCATCTGTCACCTTCCCTGCATCTCTCAAAGGCAATAGCTGAAACCAAAAATGTTTAAATAAAACAGCGGATGCCAGTGAATTAATTCCAAATGTGACTCTGCTCTGCCTGAACACTTTGCTGATTTCACTCATTACCGTCTGCAGGTACTGGCAGGACTTGGGTTACCTGATAGTGTATGTAACGGGTCGTCCAGACATGCAGAAGCAGCGTGTGGTGGCCTGGCTCTCTCAGCATAATTTTCCTCATGGCATTGTCTCCTTCTGCGACGGGTTGGTTCATGACCCACTTCGACACAAGGCCAACTTCCTCAAATCCCTAATCAGCGAGGTAAGAGAGGCCAGTGTGAGTCTGCAACAGATTCTTTTCAGATGTTAAATACTGACCTGTCTGTTTTGACCAGGCTCACACGAGGATCTTTGCGGCTTACGGCTCTACCAAGGACATCTCTGTGTACACATCCATCGGCCTGCCTCCCTCTCATATCTACATAGTGGGGAGGTCCACAAAGAAGATGCAGCACCAGTGTCAGGTATGAATTAAATCTGTATATTAAAATCCCTTCGTACTGCAGCACAACCCATCAGACCGTCACACCACATTAGTGTTCTGTGCAGTGTCTATGGTGATAATTAACCAATTATTTGTCAACTATTAAAGTAATTACCTTTTTAAATCATTTTAAAAGAAAAAAAATTCTAAATATTTGGATTCCAGCTGGTAAACGGAATATTTCTGGGTTGCAGATAAATTTAAATATTTTTAATCTTGATCTGTATTTTCACTGTTTCATTACATTTTATAGACCAAACTACATCAAAACGAAAATGTCCTGGTCAAAACAACTCCCATACAACTGTTGTATATTAATATTATCTTCTATTTTTACTGAGTAAGATTTGTTACCAACATCAGTCGTGATCATAACGATCAGAACTAGAAAATATTCATTGATTTTCAGTAGCTTAACTCTTCAAAAACCTGTTGTTTTTTTTTTAAAAAACATAACTGTCACTGTTTTTTGTTGTTATTTTTTAAGCAACATGTACACAAAAATAATTAATTTCCATATAATAAGAGGCAGGTAGAAAATTATTTTGGATGATCCAAAATGACAATTTCAAGGCAAATATTCAGAACAGAAACCTATTAACACAAAAAGCATGATTTATTGCTGTAATGGAAAGGGGATCAAAAATGGAAGTTGTAATGCTTGTTAGCAAGGAGATTTTTGTCCTTAAGATCCTAAGTGTAGCTTTTTTGTGTACACATGATATCAGTGTTGTATTATGGGAACTGAGGTTGAAATTTCACAATCCTCTTACAATACACACCTTGCCAAAATTTATTCAATATGTAGTAACATGCCAAATATTATCCATCCAAAAAATTCAAAAAATGGCCTGATGGTGGAATGAGGGTTGTATTTGAATTAATTTTAGTTTGCAAGTTGTGAGTGTAGCTTGCAATCAGCAAATTGTACTGTAACAGCTTACAGTTGCTGCTCTGTCAGGGGGTGTTCTGTCTGTCCATAATTAAAATGTAACTTCTGTTCCAGTTCATCCCGGATGGCTACGCCTCGCACCTCTCCCAGCTGGAGTACAACCAGAGGTCTCGGCCTGCCAAGTCTGCCAGCACCCGCATGGTCCTCCGGAAGGGCAGCTTTGGCCTGGGTGCAGCTGGAGGGGACTTCCTCCGCAAACGCAACCACATATTTCGCACCATCTCTGCATCTCAGCAACCCGGAGGGTCGGGGTCTGGCTCCCCCAACCTGCCGGGCCGGACTGAGCGCACGCTGAGCCAGTGTGAAATGGAGCGGGAACGAGGCATCGCCGCAGCAACCCAGCGGAGTATGAGCATTGCTGCAGGCTGCTGGGGCCGAAGTGGGAGCACCAAGGAGGGCAGCGGAGGGTTACTTGGCCCCAAGTAAGGTCTGAAAAAGGAGCAGTGGTGTTAAAGGACCTAGCCTGAGCCACCATGATCTCTGGACAGAAGACAGAAGGGTGGAGAGAAAGCAGACGGATGTGGATGGAGAGTTTGTAGGTTATAAATTAAAGGGATGTAGCATTAATAACACACTAAACTGACTTAAAGTTTAGAAAAGAAGGGTCTGTCCAGGAGGAGTGGACTAATCAGGCCAAGTGGCATCCAGAGAACAAAATAGTTGTGTAGCATGACTCTTTTACTGTAATACTTTTATAGGATACATCGCTAATTATTTAAAAAAAAAAAAAAAAAACGACAAGGAAGGATTAAATGAAATATTGCAAGCCTTAAATTATTCTCGTGTAACGGGACCCCTCCCTTCCCTTTTCCAAACAACACACTGTCCAAGCATTCACATTCATGAGCTCAGGACAAACTGCAGAGCCAGATCCATCTTCAAAACATGGCCGAGTTTGTTTGCCAGCTGTGGCAAAAAGCCAGTGATTTCACTTCTGTTTCTGTCCCACTGTTTCCAACACTCTGCCCAGCAAGGACTGACAATAAGTGTAAAAAACCCTCACAATGCAACAAGAGAAGCAAATGTAACACAAAAGCCGTGTTTCCATTTTATTTTCAAGCAAATTGGAAGCAAACTTTTAAAATGTTGCAAAAAATTCAAAATAAAGATAATTAGACTTGCCTCCATTCAGTACTGTAGAGCAAATAAACTAAGTTCTGTAGTATTGTCACAAGCCAGTAACAAAACCAATTGTTTGCCAACCGCTAAAAGAAGAAGATAAAGAAACTTTGACATATATGAGAGAAAAATGTAGAAAAGTCTTCAGGAATTGTTTCAATTGGGCATACAGCAATTTTTGTCATGTCAGCTGGCACTGAACATGTTTCATACTGTTCAGGGATTGAGGACAACATCAGTAGACAAACAGTATATTAGTCTTGTGGGTAAAACGTTGGCAACATCAGAAATTACACAGAAAAGGGGTTTCTATCTCACTTAAAGCCTAATAACTGTTTTTGAAAACCACCTCAAGTGAGCATTAAAGCTTTATTTGCAAAATAGTTTTTTCTTTGAGTGTGAACATTTTGCCAGTTTTAAAGTTTTTCTAATGCAGTACAAGACAATGCGCATAAAAATATGTTATGGAAACACGGCTAAAGTAAAGACAGAATGGAAATCTTATTGTAAAGAGTCAGTTCATCCAAATTTTACAAAAAGAAAATTCAGCGGAACTACTTTAACCCCCAGTGGCGGCTGGTGAACATTTTTTGTGGGGGGGAGGGTGCAGTCTGCAAATGACCTTTTATTTTAAATCAGAAATTAGAATATGAGTAACATCAGGCACAACTATTGACAGGAATGCAAATTGTGTACCTTTGGAGGATATTCTATTCATAATATAATTTCACGTTATCAAGAATTACCAGAAGTAAATTTCAAAACCACTCATCAGACTTTCATCAGTATTTACAGGATCTGTAAACCCAAAACACTCAACATAAATAATGGAGAAAAAAAACACTATTCAGGGCTCCAGACTGACTCTTTCACCGGTAGCACCAGCACGACCCACTTTCTCATTTTGTCCCACCTCCCACCTGGTCAAAGGCAAAACATGTGAGTTGCTGAACATTTTCTTGTCGATAGACGATTTACTGATGCGCCCTGAATGCCCCACACAGCAGGGTGTGGTAGCTGCTGTTTGGTGGCTGTGGTGTGCTCTCACCAAAACTGACTTTAGAAATAATAAACTAGGGCGTTCTCATGTCAGATTTGTCCGAGGTTAAACCCAGTTACATGAATTCTACATGCGCTCTTTTCTACGAGCAGCCTTTTCTCCACTGACAGCAGGCCAATGCATTTAGCCGTCACAACAGTAGCTGTAATCTAGTAGAAGAGGAGGGGAAAGGCCGTGGAACAGTGTCAGAAAGCACAGTCGTAAGGTCGTCGAAGGACAGTTTTGATATCCAACCACAGAAGACAAAAGCAAATAAAGACAAAATTAATTGGCTTACAGCAAAAGTGGGAGGTCCGGGACGCACTGAGCTGCGTCCCGTGAGAAAGCTGCCAATCAGAGCCCGGGCCGAGGTCACATGATCATGAAAAGTTTTTCGAGCTACATACACACTCATCCAGGAAGGGTAAAATTAGTAAACACCACACATTAAAGGCTTATATTAAATCTGTTAATAATACAAATATTGTTAATATATCAAAAGAATATGGATGTTATTACTTATTTTAATATTGTTTTTTATAATTAATTAAAATTTAATTTTACGTTTGAGAACTACTTTTTATCTGGACATTAGTAGTGGGAGGGCGGCGCCCCGTATTGACCAGCCGCCACTGTTAACCCCATAAAAATGGTCCATAGCAGGCTATTTTCCACTGTAGGAACTTGTGTGCCATTTCATGGCGTCCTCTGTGTGGGTTCTAGCCATTAGACTCCAGAACCTTTTTCAAGGTTGTTTAACCATAAGCATTATTTTTCTGCCTTCTTGATGTTCACGTTCAGTACCAGTAGCCACAATGTAAAATTCATCATATTGGCTAAGATAAGAAACCTTCATTGTTCTATTTCCTACGTGCTCATAGAACAGAAGTTATATTCAGTAGCTACTATTTCTCATTGTTCTGGTGCACTTGTAGTTAGCATAAAAAAATAAACTGTTTGATTCTGCACCACAATGGAAACCAAAAGTCTAAAAGTTCTGATACAGGATGGAGCCCTGACTTTTCCTTTCATACGATCAACATGTTTGATTCTGAGTCACATGATTTGGAAATATTGCCATGTGACTTGGTGCAGTCCAGATCTTCATGGTTCCCAGAAGATGAATCGTTACTGCATTTTTCATTTAGTGCCTTTAGTAGCCAGAGTTTTCATTGATCCAGTGAAACATGTCAACATCTACTTGATACTTCCATCAGTTCCAAAAGTTGATTTCAGTTTTAGAAATCCCAGGTTTCACAACCCAGTCATAAGTAATCCATCATACTTTTGAGCTGCTGTTTTTTTCAAAGCAGCATTCAATTCAATCACCCTGATCCAGATACAAATGCTTTAGTATCACCAAATTCAGACTAACAGTACTCTGTATGGGATTACATATGACAGTGTAGACTACTAGCTTTGGAGTCTATGTTTAATGTTTATTCTTTTTTTAGCATTAAATCTAGCCTTTGTCTGGGAAAAGGATAATCTGTGTTTTTCCTCTCACTTAAAAGTTTACAACAATACATTCTGAAGGTATGATACACATCAAAACCTTTTCTCTTTTTGAACAACCTATTTTCAAGATTGGATCTACAATACCTTACTTACTTAGTAACTTCTGAGGTTGATAAATTGTAAAACCAAAACCTTCTGACTTTGTAGAAACCAAAAGAAACGAGTGAGTAAATTTGTACTTTGGATGAACTGATCCTTTTAACAGATGTGAGTTACATTTATAAAACACAGTGTATCACAGAGGAAAGCAGAAAAAAATCTTGTTTATCACTGATGCTTTTAAATGGATACAGCTAGCATTTTTGCCGCTCCAGTTTTCATCCCCCCCCCCGTATGAGTCTCTGTAGTATTTCCCCTTTCAGTGTGGCCTCTGGGCCGTGCAAGGCCTTAATATCCCACGAGACACTTATTCCACAGAGGGAACGGGAGGCTGGAAAACAGGGCATGCAGCATTAAAGCAACAAATGAAACTCTGTACAGTCCACAGCAACAATCCCTTTATATATTCATCTGCTTGCAATACCTCTGATCCGCCTGCTGGTGGCGTTCTGTTTCCCACACCTGCTGCTGCTGCCGGGTGACTTGTGTGGTGCTTCCCGGCTTTTTGCTCTTTTTCCTCTTTTTGCTCACACAGGACGGAGCCAGTGTTTCTGCTGAGGAGCCTGTTTCCTTTCAGACTGAACTTTGAGGCAGGATTTCCACTTCTAGTCACAGAGACCTGTTTTAGTGTTCGTACCAAATGGACTGAAGAACGAGCTTGAATGTTGGATTGATCTTTTCAGTGGTGATTGTGGAGGCGGGGGAGAGTTCCCTCTTTCGCTCTCCAGAGCAAACATCATTTTGCTGCTTCTGTTGACTGAACCGTATATTTTCATACAAAGGGGACGTAGAAGAAAAAGAAGAAGCCACATCCGTCTGTGATCCAAAAACAACGCGCACAACACAGTCAGATTTACTAGTGCTGAGATCACTCATTAAAGGGAACATCTGCAGTTTTTCAGGGCTTTAAGCAGCAGTCAGGTGCCTGTAGGAAAACTGAAACCGATTTGTTTGTTGCAACTATTCCTCCTATTCTACTGGCTGTTAAGAGATCTCCTACTGATGTGCTTCCACTTAAACGTCTGGTTTCCACACAGCTTTGCTTGATGTGTGTAATTCTGTGTAGTATATGGACTACACCCCCTTGTGTTCAATGCAAAGACATGCATTTCTTTACAGATTGATTTAAACTTGAGAGGCCAAGAAAGGCTTTATTTTTGTTTTTTTTTGTTTTTTTTTAAATAGGATGCATCGTGAGAAATAAGTGAGGAGGTTGGCTGCCAGATGTGAAGATAGTTTTGTGAAATATTTTGTTACAAGACATATGAACCCCTATGCATTTACTCTGTACGTTACAGAGCTAGCTCTTGCATTCTTTCTAATTATACATTTACACAGTTTGACTGTTCACATACTGTCACACTGTCTGTTCGTCACAGTTCATGTGTGGACGTGCAGGTGATGGACAAAATGAAAAAATCACACTGTTGTTTAGAGTGTCTTTTACTCAAGCATAATAGACTTTTTGTTTATCAAATGTTAATGAATTAGAGGAAAATGTACAGATTTCTGTCAGATGTGGTAACACAGACTCATTTCTGTTCCTGTACATTGACTCATCATGCTTACTGTTGTATGCAGTCACCCCATAAAGGACATTGGAAGCATCAATAAGAGGAATGATCCCAACAAGCTAAAGTGGCCTCAGTGTTAAAGTACAGAGCACCTGACTGTGACCCTGAAGAATCGTCAACTTCTCCTTTAATCCCGTGAAAGCTTTTGGAGTATGGATGTGTGGAGCAGCTCTGCCGCTTGTTCGCTTCATGTTACTGTGCTGTTGTTTTACGTCCTGCTTCCACGATGTTTCCACTCTGTGATCAGCAACATCTTTAGCCCATAACAGAAGCCAAAATCATTCTCTAACACTGAATCAACTGTGTAACCTCATTGTTAATTTTTGCACTAGTTTACGGTGGACATATCCTGTAGTTACCATCTCAT